ACAGAGGAGAAAACAGGGGGCCGAGATCCTAGATAAGAGCGTTAGATTTCAACACGCTTTGATCTTTATCTAGATCTGCCGGCGAATGAACGGCATCCGCTTCACCAGCTGCAAGAGCGCCAAAGACAGGACGTCCATGTCGGTCACGCTGGAGCAGTGTGCCCTGCTGCGGGATGAGCACCATCTCAGCAAGGAGCACTTCCTTCGGGCGCTGGACTGCATGCGCAGGTAATCTTATCTCCCTCCCGCAGGCTTCCTGTAAGTCACGTGACCCGCAAGTCACATGACCTCCATGGGCCGTTCCACCGCATATCTCATAATGGGCTTCTAAAAAGCGCTGGCCCTGGGCCAGTTTCACGTGCTTCATTTACCTCCATTACTGCACTTTCGCTTTCATCGCATGGCGTTTATGTTTATTGTGGGTGCATCAGAGCCAATATGGTTGTGTAAGTACCTTTGTTGACATTCCACTTAATGTTCCGGCAGAGGGGCATTATGAAAACAACTGGGTGGCAGGTTTGTGCGTCACCAGCGGAGTGGGGAGAGTGGTGTCATGTTGTGTTTTGACTTGGGGGGGGAGGGCACAACTGTCCAAAAGACGGGGCCAAGCCACAGGGAGTAATCCTTTTGTTTGTTTGTTTTTTTGCATTCCTTTTAATATACACTATATTGCCAAAAGTATTGGGACACCCCTCCAAATCATTGAATTCAGGTGTTCCATTCACTTCCATACCCACAGGTGTGTAAAACCAAGCACCTAGGCATGCAGACTGCTTCTACAAACATCTGAGAAAGAATGGGTCGCTCTCAGGAGCTCAGTGAATTCAAGGGTACTGTGATAGGATGCCAACTGTGCAATAAGTCCGTTTGTGAAATTTCCTCGCTGCAAAATATTCCACGGTCAACTGTTAGTGGCATTATAACAAAGTGGAAGCGACTGGGAACAACAGTAACTCGGCCACAAAGTGGTAGGTCATGTAAAATCACAGATGCTGAGGCGCCAAATGTCTGCAGAGTCAATAGCTACAGACCTCCAAACGTTGTGTGGCCTTCAGATTAGCTTAAGAACAGTGCGCAGAGAACTTCCTGGAATGGGTTTCCATGGCCGAGCAGCTGCATCCAAGCCTTACATCACCAAGTGCACTGCAAAGCGTCGGATGCAGTGGTGTAATGCACCCCGCCACTGGACTCTAGAGCAGTGGAGACGTGTTCTCTGGAGTGACGAATCACGCTTCTCTGCCTGGCAATGCGATGGACGAGTCTGGCTTTGGCACTTGCCAGTACTTGCCTGACTGCATTGTGCCAAGTGTAAAGTTTGGTGGAGGGGGGATTATGGTGTGGGATTTTTTTTCAGGGGTTGGGCTTGGCCCCTTAGTTCTTGTGAAAGTAACACTTAATCACATGGATGAGCGAGTCTGGTGCAGAGGAACTTGACTGGCCTGCACAGAGTTCTGACCTCACCCGGATAGAACACCTTTGGGATGAATTTGGGCAGAGACTGCGAGCCAGGCCATCTCGTCCAGCATCAGTGCCTGACCTCACACTTCTCCTGGAAGGATAGTCAAAAATTCCCATAAACACACTCTTAAACCTTGTGGACAGCCTTCCCAGAAGAGCTGAAGCTGTTACAGCTGCAAAGGGTGGGCCAGCTCCATATTAAAGCCTATGTATTAAGAATGGGATGTCATTAGAGTTCATGTGTGTGTAAAGGCAGGTGTCCCAATACTTTTGGCAATATAGTGTAAGTAACTCTGGGTAAATAAACAGACTAGAGGTCTTTCTGGATGAAGCAGCAAGACCTTCATTGTGTTCCACAAGTGTTCTGTTGTTAATGTCTCCTGACCATTTCATCTGTTGGAATCTCTGGCCGTTGTTCGTGCCTGTTGAGGACCCCCTTGTGTGTCCATTGTCCCACCCAAAGGGCGTTAACATCGCTCCGCTCCGAACCGTCCTGTACAGGTCCTTGGGACACGCAAAGGTCATCCGGGAGAGCTATTCTCTCACCAGATCTGTATCTGCGAGGTTGTATCGACTCTGCCTGTGATCCGGGCACGATCGGCATGTGTTTAGCTGCGGCGCGCAGGAACTGTGTCAGTGAAACCGCGGCACACCTTTTGAGAGCACGACGGAGTTCAAAAGAGGTCAGAGCTAGAAGACTAAGCGGTGTTTGATTGCAAGAAGAAACAAATGTTGTCCCACGAGCTGTACTTTTCTGAGGGAGTCGGTTTGGGGGCTTGAAAATGGTGCTATAATGATTAAAGGCACCGTTGCTATGCTGGGAAAGCCTGTTTAGAGTTTACGGTAATTCTTCTAAGGCGTGAAGCAAAACACTTGAGCCCTTAGCTGGTCCTGGGACTTGGCAAGGTTGAACATAGGTCCGTCTCACTACCTGTCTGAAAAGTGCAAATTAGTTGGCATGCAGCCCTTGTTTTTCTCTAGAGCTCAGGGACCTTGACCGGTTGCCTGAGCTGTCATTAACGGTGAAATCACCCTTTAATGGCATTCGCTGTTTTATAATTTGCCCTGTGGTACAAGGTGCAGCTGTTTGTTTATGGTGAATAGTTTATTCACGCTCGTGTCAAGGTACAGGCAGAGTCTGGCAGCCAACAGCCTGAGTAGATGGTAAACCTTTAAAATAAACTACTCAAATTTTGGACACAAATGAAATGGACAAAAGTATTGGGACACACCTATCCGACACTGCATTGAAGTGTTACATTCAGACCAATTGCCACAGGTGTATAAAATCAAGCACCTAGCCATGCAGTCAGGTTTACAAACATTTATGAAAGAATGGGTTGTTCTAAACTGCTCAGTGAATTCAAGCGTCTGTACTGTCATACCTTTGCAATAAGCCAGTTCATGAAATGTCTTCCTTGCTAGATATTTCACGATCAACTGTAAGCGGTATTACTGCAATTAGGGGTAATGGCATGGGGTTGTTTTTAGAGGTTGGGCTCGGCTCCTTCGTTCCAGTGAAGGGAACTCTTAATGCTTCAGCATACCAAGACATTTTGGATGATTCTATGCTTCCAACTGTGTGGGACCAATTCGGGGAAGGTCCTTTTCTGTTCCAGCATCACTGTGCCGCAGTGCACAAAGCAAGACTCAGCCCTGGGGGGGTGTTCATGTTGAGGGTGATGAGGGAGTATGAGACGCGATGGATTTTAACAGTCTAGAAAACTGACCCTGTATCTTCGGAGCGTAGCTGGCCATTGACCTCCAGTACCCTCCTCGCAGCTCTCAGTGCGGACTGCGCAGACCCAAAAAAAGGAACTTCGAAATTAGGAAGTAGGACTTGGGAAGCGTTTGGCTTGTTTGTTAGAAAGCGCACACTTCCTCCGTTGGCTGCCTCAACTCTTCCTCCTCTTGTCACCTGGTGTTTCGAGTCATATCCAAAAATATGACATTCAGGAAGATGGAGGTTTCATTTTGGCTGCTTTTCGGCTGGGAGATGTTCCTCTTTCTGCCCTCGCCGAAGGTCCGATCCACTGTGCGTGTTCCCCGTGCTGATGTTAGCGACTGGTCAGGGCACAGAATTGGTAACTGCAGCCTAATTTTCTGCTAGCTTGATTTTGTGTATCATTGTTTTGCTAGATGGAGTTCATGTTGTGGGCTAGCACTCTGGCCCAGTGGGTGGCGCTGTTGCATAACACCTCCAGGGTTGGGAGTTTGAACCCTGGGTCTGCCCAGTGTGTGTGTATGCCCTCCTCTATCTAGCCCCTCTCCCTGCTGCAGTCCAAACCTAAATTTCATATGAAATTTTCCATACCCTGTGATGGAGTGGCATTCGCTCCAGAATCCGCCCCCATTAATACTGGATTCTGTACGAGTAAACAATCTGGGAATTATGAGTTTGGAAAATCATAAACAAAGATATACTTATTCATGTATCTGTTATTGCAGTTCATCTCCGCCTTAATACACTGGAAGAATGACACTCCTGCGGAGCCTGGCCACCCGCCAAATCGAAGGACACTGGTTATTTGTGGTGGTGCTCTCTCGCAGGCGGGACTGCAAATTCCTTTTCTTGTTTTGTCATATCACTTAGTTTCATTTGTGCTTAGCCACTGAAGTGCCTAGCCTGGGTCTTGGAAGGTAACAAATGGAGCCGTGTGTGGGGAAAATGAAAATGAAAGGAACAATAAAAATGTGTCAGGCACCATTTCGCAGGGAGTGACGCCTCATGGGGGTCAGTCCGGCCTGCTTGCTTTCCCCGGGCTGGTCTTGCATGCCGATGCCGCAGAAGGCCGGTCTCCTTCCTGCCGCTGAGTCCCGAGAAGCGCGGATTTAACGCGCCGGAATAAGAGGTTGGAAGTTGCCGTCTTGATTGTAGTGGTCGCAGGGGTTCGTGCTGCCTTCCTGTCGCACCTGCTCTGGCCTCGCTCTGCTAAGCCAGAAAGTAGGTCAGGTTGGATTCCGGAAGGGCGTCTGTCCTGGCAGCTGCACAACCATAATTGTTGTAGTGTTTTTGTGGGGGGGGGGGGGTATAAGGAAGCTTCCAACAACCGTGGAAATGCATGCGTCCGCTTCATGATTCCCCCCCCCCCCACCCCCCACCCACCTATCGCTCATCTGCACCCCCATCTGTTTGTAGCTCCCCCCAACCCCCCCCCCAAACTTGTTACTAACCCTCCGGTGTTCTGTCTTGTTCTTGACTCACCCAGCAGTCGCCTCGCCCAGGGAGGGGCGGGTCATTGGGAGGACCCAGAGGCGCCCTCTGTAGGTGATAGCAAGCCGGTGACCCGCCACTTCTACCCTATCGCCCTGCTCCTCGTCAGCTCTCACTTGCTGGTCGTGTGGCTCATCCTAAGTCTTGTTTTCCTGCTTGCGAAATATCAATAAACTATCTGATGTCATACTTTTGGCTTGGCTGTCTACTTTCGTTCGGATTTGACTTGTCTCGGGGTCTTAGTGGTAGTGCTTAACTCGCATATCGTGGTTTTATTTCAAAAACGTCTGCTTGAAATACCATTTAATGTTACAGATAATAAATAGACACAATAGATCAGTGTTTCCCAACCCGGACCTCAGGGAACCATAGACATTTTCGCTCCCTCCCAGCTCCCTGCTAGACAGTCCACATTTTTGCTCCCTACCGAGAGCTGGGGGGAGCGAAAACATGGACTGTTTGCAGATCCCCAAGGAACGGATTGGAAAACGGCAGAATAGAGAGATATTACATTCAGTAGATTAGGATTAAAAACCAAACATGCTTGATCAGATTTATTTTCTACATATTAAAAGAATTAATGTATATCGAAGATTATTATAAAGATTTTATATACATGATGATACAGAGCTTTTTTATATAGGGTTTCACTACAATGTACTTTTTTGCCACTGCCGTTAAAACATTAAATTATGCTCGATGCAGTTTTGTTTCTGTTTAAGTGAGCTGTGCTTGGGGATATCTCAACAGCTTCTTGTGTCGCAATATAAAACACGCATTGTTTTTTTTTTTTAATTTGTGCAGTGGGGTCTTCTGTTATGTGGCTGGAAATGCTACTGTAGGTAACACTATTTCCCGAAGTCCCGAGATTTAGTGGCGTCCATCCCAATCCAGGACAGGCATTTCAGGTTTCATTAGATTAAAACACAGTCCTTGGGGAAAAGTCTCCCATGAACTGACGTTTTGGGTTCCACATGTTGAAGTATCTGAGTGACTCTCCAGAAAATGTCGTATTTCCATGCAATATATTTCTACAGATCAAGAATAATGTTACCCTGGAGACTGGATAGTCTGTCTACAAAGTTGAACATAGTAAAACCTCCACAAAGCTGCATAGTTAAATTTTTATTTCAGTCAGTCAGTCAGTCAGTTTCAGGTCAGTGATTTTGTGGGTCACCGTCCTGCCCCACATGCCACAGATTATCTCTGTATCGATGCTCGTTTTCAAATTATTTTTGACCACCCCTCCCCCATTTAAACCATCATTTCACAATCCCATCATGTCTTGTCCCCCCCCCCCCCCCCACCTGCTCATTGTTCCCAGAGACGGATGTCGGATTGAGAACGTGCAAAAGAACATAAGGTGCCGGAAGTATGCCTTCAACGTTCTACAGCTGATGGCCTTCCCCCGGTGCTATCGACCCCCAGAAGGCACCTACGGGAAGGTTGACTCGTGAGCACCGGAAATCCCCCCCTCACCAAGGGAAAATATGTGCCCCCCTCCCCCAAGCAATACAATACCCCAGTCAGCAAAGGTGAGACAGGTATGGTGGATCTGTACACAGGAAGTAACCCTACAAGTACTTCCAGATAAACAGTGTTATCATCTAAATAGCTATACTTCAAAATGAAGTACATTTTGGTGTTATCGCGTGAAATGTTTCCTTTTAAATGTTTTTGTATTTTTTTTTTTATAATTTATATAGACAGTTCAGTCTGCTGGCAAACTTTCTCCTACACAAACATACTCGCTTTTATGCAGCTCAACATACCATCATACAAGCATAACGCCGTTCAGTAAAACAAGTACGAGCGCAGCGATGGCGGTCATCACTCAAAGAATATCTTCGCGATGACACAACTAGAAAAGAATGGACATGCCTGGCACAGCGTGTAGGGGCTGCTTCAAGTCTAATTTCTCGGTCGGGGTTGATTTCATTTTGGCTGTAGGCCACCTTGCAGATTCTCATATTTGGATATCCATGTAGTCTTTTCATGAAAATGAAAGAAAAAAAACAAAACAACAACTGTGCATCTTGAAGGTGATTTCATGCTTCTGTTCTGGACTTTCCCAGGAAACCAAGTTTTGTTTTCATTCAGAAACCTTTTTAAGAAGAACTACTTATTTCACGCTGAAGAAAACTAGTTATGAAACTCCAGCGCTGGGGTAGGTTCCGAACTCCAGGGATCTTACGTAGGACAAGTGGGGGCAGGGGGGGGGGTCACCAAATGAATGAATGGAAACCCTGAAGCATACGTGCTGGGGTGTCATATGGCCCTGGAGGGCGGTGTGTATCTGAGCTACTGTCTGATGAACAGAACATAATAAATATTGTTCATAAAATGGATAGATAAAGATAAATTGTGACGATCAGGATTCTGGCAATGGAAATTCTGCAGCTTCGTTTAACAATTTTGTTTGCGGTTTATCATTCTCACAAAGGAGTAAATTGTTTTTAGCACGTTCACATTTTTTGCTTAATTAAAACATCTAAGAAATGTTATTTTCCTCATAAAATGTTTAGAGTTTTTGGGAATCTTGTTTACTGACCTGGTTCGTCCAGAATCAAGCTGTAATTGCGGTTGCGTATTTATTTTCTGGTGTTATTGTTCAATGTGTGTTACCAGCCGTCCAGCCATTCGGTCGCAGTTAATCAGTTCATTTTGTTTCCAACGTAGCGGGTTCTGATTAAACAATTTTGCTGGGATTTTTTGGGACACAAGATGCAGACATGGAAATTCCGTGCCAATTTCAATTTTGCATTCGAATTTAAACAAGCAACCCAGAGTTGCCATTGTCACCAGTTTATTGTTGCTGGGAAAACTGCTTTTCGTTGTTAATGACCAGAAGTGTTTGACTTAAAGCCTGTGTGTAATGTTAGAACAAACAATGGGTTATGATTTTTTTTTCCATTCAGTTCTGTTGCATTAGTTATTTAATGTATTTAAACCATGTTTTTTTTTTAATGCTATCAGTCATATTTTTGAATACCTTTTAAATAAACTTTTAAATTAAAATATCACTGCCTGTCAGTAATTGTGGAACTAACGCAGTTCAAAAAGTGCCACAGGAGGACAGATTTTTCTTTCCCTCTTTGTGTAAAAGTAGGAAGTGCCCTGCTTACTTCTGTAAATGATTTCTGCTTGATAACGGACCTGTTGGTCATATGACACTCGTCAACTGAAAAACTCGTTCGCTTAAAACCAGAGGGGATCCCGCTACTCAGTGGCTCTGACTCTACCCCAGCGCAGCAGCAACTGTGGAGGCAGGCATTCGGCCGTCGCCATGGATTCCTGGGACTTGACAGAAGAAGAGATGGCCGACATGAAGAAGGAGGTTATCGAACGCCTCAGGCCGTATCTGTGTGACAAGCTCATCGCCGACCGGCACCTGGATTACTTACGCTCCAAGAAGATCATCTCCAGGGAGGACGCGGAGGAAATCGCCTGCAGAGCAGGAAACAGGAGGAAGACTGGGAAAATGCTGGATTACGTGGCAGAGAATCCGAGGGGCCTGGATTCCCTGGTCGAGTCCATACGTAAGGTGAGAACCAAAGACTTTGTCATACTGAAGATTACCAGCGAGGTGGAAGAGGTGAAAAGTGAGAGGAGGTGGGGAGCCGTGCTAGCAAAGGGATTTGGGCCCCCGTCTCCGTGCACCAAGGCTTCCAGAATGTTCTCCATGTGGTCCGACAGTAGTGCCAGCTTTGAGAATGAGAAGGATCCCCCGGGAACCCTGATGTCCAATTTGGACGCCTGGTCGGGTCCGTGCTGCCGGTCGTCCGGAACCCTGTCATCCAGCTCCCACCTCCCGAAACCTGGGGAACCCGGAGCCCCCGAGCTCCCTGAGCAGGGAAGCAGTGAAGCAGAGAGCCCTGGAGCCGGCCCTCTGGACGCTGGACACCTCCTGCAAAGCAGGGCTTCACTTTCTCGTTAAGCAAAATGGACCAATCACTCAGCGTTTAATTCCGGGGGTGCGGTAAATACCAAACTGTCACCCTGTTTGTTGATGTAAACCACTTCAGGTCCTAGAGGGCCAGAATCCAACACGGGTTGCAGATTTCCCTGCTCGAGCACATTTTAATCATCTAGTTTTCCTGGGTCAGTGGGTGTGTTTGAGCAGAGAAATCTGCCAGCTGTTTTGGATTCTGACCCTCCAGAATCAGAACTGGGTAACCTTGGCATGATCAAGTTTCATTCATAAGCGCTCGCTCAAAGCCCGGCTGTGCATTCCTGTCATTACGAGCAGAAGTCATACCACTTTGAGCTCTGCTACTGCTCCATACCGGCGATCCAGACTCCATTGCGGCATAAACCTGGAAATGGTGTACAAGGCCGTAAGGGAACGATCCCAAAAGACTGAAAGCAGCTCTTCACACCTGTTGAACTATATCCAGAAGTCAGCATGCACAATGAAAGGCTTCATATGTGTCCCTCTGTGGGGAAGGGTGCTTGGCATAGAGTGACAAATTAAACGAAGTGTACAGGATCATACTTTTTATTGTTATATATCAAAATCAATTTTTTTAATAAAAATATATATATATATATATTTCTAAAATGTATAAGGTACAGAGCCTGTGATACAAACGACTTTATTAGTAGCTTAAGTAACATGAAAAGGACAATTTATAATTCAGACACTTGCAAAGTGCACAAGAAAATGTTCAACTCGGTGGCTACATTATTAACTAATAATTAACACAGAGTCTGAATGTCCGAAGCGAGACCCTGAATGCAGTTCTGAACACATAAAGGGAAACTTCCTTCTTGGTTCAGTGTAAGGATGTATAATGAAGTGACCACTGAATGTATGTAGTCTAATTTATCCATAATATAGTTTTCACAATATGGCTACAGACATTCATAAAGACTGGATATTTGTTTACGAACGACACATGGTTATACTTTACAGACGTTTTTCATAAACATTTGTGTGAAGAAACATTGTTACATTATTATTCATTCAGGTCGACCGATTATATTTTTCACTTACAATCCTTGTGGCATGTTATTCAAATAACATGCACGTATACCAAAATCAGTTTTTCCAAAGTGCTTTAAAGCAGCAGATGATCGTGAAATATTAAGAACTACCCTGAAATAGAAACTAGAATTGTAAACCTTGTGGATGTAGAAAACTCAAGGGGTGGATGATCCTTGGAGTGTACTTTATGAATTGTCCAGGTTTTATTTTTGTTTTTTTGGACGGTTTAATGCCTTCATAGTTTTGGAAATGCATGAAGGTGCCTTGAACATCACGTGGTGCATTCTTCCGATGATACTGATGCAGTGTAAAGGAAATCAAAGCCCTGACTGGGATTATTCAACAGCTGAAGGTCACAGATCAACACACTTGATTTATATTGCAGTTCTTCTCGCTCATGGAAGTTTTACTTACACAAAAATGTTCTCAGGGCAGAAGGAAAAATTAAAAACTAGAAGATGTGAGACAGACATCTGATTGGTTGGTCCTGCCTCTTCTAGTTGCTTGGACCCACCTTCTCTACAATCCGATCGATTATCTCTCTCTTCTGCCCTCAGAACATTTTTGTGTAAGTTAAACTCCCGCAAGTAGTTTTCTCAGGAAACTGGTGATGCTGCTGTGACACTGCTTTGTGTCAGGTGCATAGGGGCTCTTCTTTACACAAAGTCCTACTCCGGTGCCCTCCCTCCTGCCCCCTGTAGGACAGGTTAAAAAAAAAAATTGCCAGAGGTTCACTTCCCAAGAATGCTCACCACCGCCTGCTCCGTAGGGAAATCCATGAGCATGTCCCACAAAAACCGCTGCGTTTACATCCATTCTGGTAGCTATCAGCTGTGGATTTGGTTTACTATCATTTTCAGAAAGTCTTGGAACGTCTCCAGGAACACCGTGGAATTGGTCATGTCATGCAATTCGCACAGCTTGCACCTGCTCTGGAAAAACAGATGGACACGGCGTGGTCAGTGCCTCTCCGGCCTCACTGCAGGCCCGTGGTAGGCCCCCACCCCGGCATGCTCACCTGGGGTAGCTGACGTAACAGTGTGTAATTCTTCCTCGACTCTATGTTTTGGTCTGTGTCAGGAACCTCCGTCTCGAACATCATGACCTCAATTTCCAGGAGGAAGCATTGCATTATCATTTCTCTGCATGATTTGAGTTCCTGTGGGGAAAAACCGGTGTGAGAATGTCCCTCCAGTCACCTTCACTACTAGTGGCTCACTTGTCCTTAGGCATTTCAAGCATTTTCCATTTTCCCAGTAGGTCAACAGGTTTGTTGGCTGGCAAAATTCATCATACGCTTGGGATATGCCTAAAGTGCTGATTTTTATCAGCATTCCAAGAGAAATGCATAGGCATCGGGCTTGTGCGAGTTTAACTTACACAAAAATATTCTGAGGGAAGCAGGAAAAATGATAGGGATAACCAATCAGATTGTAGAGTAGGCGGGACAAAGACATCTGATTGGTTGGTCCTGCCTCATTCAGTTGTTTGGACCGACCTCCTCTACAACATGGTTATCTCTCTGAACCAATCATTTTTCCTTCTGCCGTAAAAACATTTTTGTGTCCCAAGGGCTTCATCTGTCCCCACAATATTAAATGGTGAAATAATCTCCTACAATGCTTTGTTTCCCGGGGAAGACGAACAAGAGTGTGCATGTTTGGGAAAGGCAACAGCACCAGAAGCAACAGGAAATCTAGGAAATGCATTATGGGTAAAAACACAGCAACTTACCTCCTTGTCAATGTGTGGTGTGTACAGCATTGTGTTACACCCCTGATTGAAGGGAACAATAAATAAATGTTCAGTTTGGCTGCCAAAATGGGAACTTTAAGCTACTATGACAACAGAATGCCCACTTTGCGAAAGGCTCATGTTCACAGCCCTGTCCCGGATCAATATCCTATCAGCTAAGATTTACATTAAACGACCATGCAAGTTCCATAGCTATGTTAAAGCGTCAATAAAAATGAATAAGAATTTTGGCACCTGGCATATATAACCGGACTAAGAAATTTCTCACTCTGAAGTTACAGACTATGTATCCTAGCTGGATTATCTTGGACGAGGACTGACTACTTTAGAGACATTTTTCAACTTTGACATGCTTATCCTTGACACAGGTAAAGCTTGTGTTGAACGGGAATTAGTTTATTACATTGGGTATGCTGCGTAAACAGCAATACATTCCATTCAATCTTTCTGATGGAGATTGTAAACAGCCAGCTGGTAAATATAGTTCATAGTTTGTTAGTGGTTTAGTGGACAGTAAAACTATGAGATCCTGGTGCTTTTTCATGCTCCCTGCTAAGTTTGATGTTGCATCAAAAATTCAATATCATAATGTTTACACGTACTACCAAGGACGTTTCTCTTGACAATATAAATATTATGCAGTGTAATAGATCTACTATTTACTGTATGTCACATCCCATACATGGTTTATTAAGTTTATTATGTCCGATAAAGGTCAAAGGTCAGTTTTTCTATATTGTACTACTGTAATACTTCTTTCTTTCTAAATCTAATTACTTTGCTACTCTCTATCTGTATATCCGTCTATGTGTCGATCTATAGTCTATCTATCTATGTGTCTTTCTATCGATCTGTGTCTGTCTCTATCTATCTGTGTCTGTCTCTATCTATGTATGTGTCTTTCTATCTATCTATGTGTCTGTCTGTCTGTCATTTTTCAATGTTTAAATTGTTGAAAAATCAAAGATGACCCACAGATCTCCCACAGGTCCACAATGGAAGGGATACCCACACGAAGCCGTTCTGTATAGTTTTTAATCCAACACTGGAGCTCAAGTACTTCTTGCTCTTGTATGTTGCTTGTAGCACCAACAGGTAACGATGTGCTCAAGCAGCTGATAAGGAAGGAGTTAAAAACCATACATAAACTAAAAAGGTACATATGCTTATTTTACTGCACAATCATCTTTTAAACAGAGGTGGACATTTCAGGTCCAGAAAGTAAAAATCCAGACCAGGATTTTGTTTCAACCAACCAGTTGAGCATAAAGAGTCACAGACACAGAGTACTCAACTGTTTGGTTGGAACAAAATCTTGGTCTGGATTTTTACTTTCTGGACCTGAAATGTCCGCCTCTGCTTTTAAATATGGGTTTTGAGTACAGAGATACTAACATCTAACAACACGACTGCAACATGTGCCATACCGAATATTGTTCGTAGTTAGTCGTGAATGACTAGCATATTTCTTAGGGTTAAGACGAGTTACTTATAACTATGTAGATCTTGGAATACTGAGTTTGCCTACCTCAAAGCAAAAAAAGCAATCCAAACTTCAGAGTTTAACGGGCAGTCCGGGCAGTTGTGGGAACACCAGAAGATGCAAGCCCGCCGCAGACTTCTCTGGAGAGAAAGCAAGAACAAGACATTAATGTACGTTAATGTACAATGTCCCGTGCCCACGCAGGACATAATGACGAAAGAAATGCTCTAATGACGTGTAGGGCTGCAATGATTCATCGGGTAACTCGAATATCTCGACTGCAAAAAATCCTCAATGCAAATTCTTTAATCCACACGACTATGTACTGCTCAGTGATCACCGTGTTTATTACTGCCACACAGCATGCTTTACTATTATTATTATTATTATTATTATTATTATTATTACTACTATTAATAAATAATAATAATAAACATTTCAGCAACGAACAGGTTTCTCATTTGAACACATTTAACAAAGTTACAAACAAGATGCAACGAGATCCAGACAGGGGTATATGCACAGAATGGAGAAAGGAGGGAAATTATCCGTAACGGTAAGTTCAAGGCTGAATATGCATCCAGTGTCTTAGCAGCTTTTTTATTTTTTAATCCATGCAAGGTTTGGTAATAAAGTCCCATTTCCATGTTAAAGTCCTGGATCTTTGGTTCCTTCTTTGCCCGTTTACACTTATCAATAAAATATTTCCTATGTAAAATGAAATGGTTCGGTATACATCTCCTATTACATTCTATACCAGTCTTTCCATAAAAGAAACATCCTTCTTTTGCAGTAAAATTTTTTTTTTACCATAAAACATATTAAATAAACAACAGATTCCAATACAAAAGGTGGACATACATACAATCGTAAATAGGTGACAGACTCAGCGCTGCACTCTCAGAAAATACAATGTTCATTAACTCCAACTTTAAACGCACTGCACTGCATTATGTATAGCAGAGCGGTAGAAAAAACACAGTGGTGACACTCCCATAGGGGCCCACTGAAAAAAAGGCGGAGTCATTTCCGGCAAACTTCCGCGTCATGGGGACGGTGAATAGTTCCAAACATTGACGTTCACGGCACAGAATCACGTTAATTTTCACTGCTTACCACTGTGTTAATAAAATAGCATAAAAAATATGTAATTCTTTAGCTGTCATTAAAGTACTAAATATAATTTTAGCATTAGTTATCAATGTTCATCATAAATAATAGTTATGACCAAAGGTAGCTTAGCAGCTATCGAGGCTAACGTTCCCATTTCACTGATGATTGTGTCAGTTACTACTGACGCAGGATAGCGTTATGTATCAAGCCGTTCTGGTTATCAGTGGGTTCATGATTATAGTTAGCTGCACTACTACCATGTTAATACACCTGATTAAAATATCATTTTACAGCTCTCCTCGGATCACATGGTATAGTGTAAATTTACTACTAAATTTATGGCAAAATAGCTTAAATTATTTTGTGGTAATTTGCGTTAAAGTGTCTGTAGCCTGTTTTTACTTGCGCCTTTTAAGTGCTGCGTTTTTAAACAGCTCTTGGACAAAAACAACATTATTTTGTCTATATCATGTTGAATTGGTTAGAATATCATTGAAATAAAATAAAAACTTCTATTTGTCCATATTGACCTATATATATTTTTTTTCACCTGTATTGCCCCCACCCCCACTCTTTGTCCCTAAAGTGCCAGGTGTAAATGGGACATTACATATATTGGTAGTTTTTACAGTGTTTGCTCAATTTGTGGATAAAGAATTACAATGGATTTTGATCACTGGACACTTTTGAGAGGTGGGTGCTTTCTATATAAGTAAAAAAAAAAAAAACAGTGGGCATACACTATATTGCCAAAAGTACTGGGACACCTGCCTTTGCACACACGTGAACTTTAATGACATCCCATTCTTAATACATAGGCTTTAACATTGTGATGACACGTGATTGGGAAAATGTCATCGGGTGGGTGTTTAGCGGTTCAGAGGACTAGCGGTGCTTGATTTTGATTGCATGATAGGCACCTGGGGGAAGTTTTAAGGGGAGAGGACCTTGTTTTGTGAGGCAGAGACGTTGTTGGACGCTCAGTTCACAAGAAAGGAAGTTTGGGGCCATGTTGGACTGACTCTCGGATGGAATGACCGCAGAGGGACGTTCGGGAAGACCTTGTTTGCAGCGTATTGTTTTTTTTGTGTGCGTTTTTTTTTTTTGGTGGGCTTCAGGACGCCGATGCCCACAGACTGATCCACGGACACACGGGAGGGTCTTGGCGGCTGCTGGACAGAGGGTAGTTCGGTGATTGTTTTAATCCTGTTAAGTGAAGGGTGTGTGTGAGTGAGAGAGAGTGTGTGTTTGTGTGGGGATATTAGGGAAGGGTTTTTACTATGGTTTAGCGTGGAAAGTGGGTGGTTTATTGGGAATGTATGTCATCTAACTTTTAGCACTGCCTATAGTCTCCCTTACTTTGACTAATTGCATTTATTTCCCCTACTCCTCCTGGGGGGTGCTGCCTGGAGACCTCAATCTATCAAGACGTCCAGCACACCCTGCTACATGTGACGTCGCCACTAACCAATGACGTCCGTGCCACTGTCGCCTATGGCTTACTCTCTGGGGGCTTTGGGTGTGGATGCTGTAAAGCGCTTTGAGATGATGTAATGTTGTGATAATGCGCTATACAAAAATAAATTTGTTGTTCTTGTATTGAGCATTTAAGCCTAGTAACTGCTCCTTTTAGAGTGACTGTTTGCTGTGCTTTGTGTTACTGAATTGGGGTTATTCATTATGCATAATAATGAAGTGTTAAAGTCTAACCTATGCCGTCTTTGGATCTTTTGGGGGTGTGCAATACTGCGTAATGGTGGGTGGCGCTAGTTGCTGGCTTGGTGTTCCGTAGGTTAGACGCCGTAACCGTATTCCTGCCTGCATTCACCTAAACCTGGTATTTTATATGAACAGTATATTTTTGTAACGAATAAAGGAAAGTGTACTTGTTACTGTTTTCTGGGAACGACGACCGGACCGGTTAAAAAAAGGTGGTAGCAGCTTAAATGAGGATATTGCTGTTACAATACAGAGCTGGCCCACCCTTTGCAGCTATAACAGCTTCAACTCTTCTGAGAAGGCTGTCCAGAAGGTTTAGGGGTGTGTTTTCGAGAATTTTTGAGTATTCTTCCAGGAGAGCATTTGGGAGGTTGGGCACTGATGCTGGATGAGAAGGCCTGGCTCGCAGTCTCTGCCCAAATTCATCCATTTCGTGGCCGAGTTGCTGTTGTTCCCAATTCCTTCCACTTTGTTATAATACCATTAACAGTTGACTATGGAATATTTAGTTGCAAGGAAATTTCACAAACGGACTTATTGCACAAGTGGCATCACAGTACCACGCTTGAATTCACTGAGCTCCTGAGAGCGACCCATTCTTTCTCAGATGTTTGTAGAAGCAGTCTGCATGCCTAGGTGCTTGGTTTTACACACCTGTGGTCATGGAAGTGAATGGAACACCTGAATTCAATGATTTGGAGGGGTGTCCCAATACTTTTGGCAATATAGTGTATTTTGCCTGGCAGCCTTTATGAAACATTCTAGAATATTAGAATTTGCATGTTATTTCCATTGGAAAATGGTTCAAAATTGTTTGAAAGTTTATTTCTATGAATTTTTCAAAATAAAATTTCCCTTAAATTAATGAACTACGTTTCAGCTGCTCCATGCAAAAATAGTAACTTCCAGGTTGTAAAAAAAAGATGTAAAAAAAAAAAAAAAAAACTTAAATTTGTTTAGGAACTGTTCTTAGATTTTGGGGAAGATGTATTCAATAAAAGTCTGCACTGTTGTGGTTATTTGTGGCTTGACTTGTAAATATAGCCTATATATGCTGGGTCACTAAAGATCCGAGGTATGTACGTCATAGTGCATCCCAAAAGTGCCATTAATCATTGGAATAATCAATAGAATGCTCAATTACTAAAATAATCGACAGCTGCAGCCCAAATGACATGTTGGCTGAACTTCCAGGCAGACAGACAGAAGGATAACTTGTCAGATTTAAGTATGCCTTGTCTAGGCTAAGGTGTAGGTGAAGGAAGATAGAGGTCCATTTAAACTGGGGTACTTTAGAGCTGACGAGCAAGACATCTGTCATACAGGCCCCTGGTTATGATACTATATAAACAAACCGCAATTAAAAATAAAACAAGCCACAAATCTTATACATGGGTCTTTCAGATACTTAAAAATACAAAGCATAAGAACAGGTATTTTTTTTTAGGTTTTTACACAAAATGTATTTAACTATAATTTTAGGAAAACTTCGATAATAATGCAAAATATATACACCAGGGGTGCCCAATACGTCAATCGCGATCTACTGGTCGATCGCAAAGGTAGTCTGGGTAGATCGTATGGCATAAAAAATAGAGGAAGCGTGACGCGTTCAACCGCGCCAGCTGCTGCAAAACTCCAGCAAGCGACGGAGTCGGCCAGTTAGCCACCAAATTATTTCTACTAAACTTAAGAAAGGGTATAAAAATGAACGGGGGAGCTGGACCAAGTAAGAAGCCAAAAACCTACCACTTCCATATGGAATGGGAGGAGGACTTTTTCCACAATGACACACTGTATTCGAGGTGCATTTGCCTCATGTCAGTCTATTGCCATTACGAAGAAGGGAAAGGTGGAGCGGCATTTTCGGACTGTTCATAAAAACCACGACATTAACTTCCCTCCGAAAAGCGATCTGAGAAAGAGAAAGGTGAAGGAACTAAAATCCCAGTTCAATTTAAAAATATTAATTTCCCTTTGGGATAAAGTAATAGTAATGATAACATAGTAATAATAAAGAATACTCAATATTTTTATACATAAATATATGTTTTGCATTTTTATAGTAGGTAGATCATTTTGACTTGGTCATTTATAAGGAACTCGCAAGTTGAAAAAGTGTGGGCACCCCTGGTGTAGACTGACCCAAGGGCCTAACTTTGGGTTGTATAAGGTGGTTGTTTTGGCCTACTGACTATAGTTGTGACGTTCGCGAACGAACCGATTCTTTTGAACGGCTCATAAACATGAACGATGGGAGCCGAGTCGCGGCTGGAGGGGAGCCGTTCTTTCTGTCGTTCTTTTTTTCCTATGCGTGTTTCACACAGATGCACACAAATTAGCTCCTCCGCGAGACAGAACAGTTATACCCAGCGCAGGGGTGCTACTGCCTAACAGCATGATGATAGTTGTGCACGCATCCTTCACTTCCACATTGTGTGGAAGTG